ATTTTATTTAAAAAATACTGTATAATTGTATTAATTCAACAGCAAACCAAAAATTTATAACCACTTTTGAAAGATGTATCTTTGCTCTGGAAATTGTTATTGAATATGTTAAAGCTGTAAATGCTTCTTGCTTCTAATCATGTGGTTATTAAATAATTTTTTAAAAAGTGATTGCTGATTGATTTTTCTTTGCAGTAATCATTATGATACTTATCAATAGCATATAAAAGCAAATGGAAGGGGGCTGGGCTCAGCGGTCAGCGGTTAAGAACATTGACTGTTCTTGCAGAAAACCCGGGTTCAAATCCCAGCATCCACATGGCAACCTACATGGCAGCTAACAACTGTCCTTAACTCCAGTCCCAGGGGATCCGGCAGCCTCTTCTGACCTCCGTGAGCATTGCATGACACGGGTGCACTTACCCACATGCAGGCAATACACACATACACACAAAATAAAAAAAAAAATTTAAAAAAAGCGAATGGAAGAACAACCATCAACAGATCAACAAAAGTCTTCCCAAATTGAGAAACATAAAGGTAACTATTTCACTGCTATCTTCCAATAGGCAGAAATATGGATAGGCAAAAAAATACAGTAGCCATAGACCATTTCTGTGTACATCACTGGATCCATTTCTTGTCAAGAAAGCAAAGTTGAAGATGAAGAAGAAGGAAGAATTCTTTCTCTCTCCCTCCCTCCCTCTCTCTAACAACATCTTACTCTGTATCTCAGGCTGGACTGGAACTAGCTATATAGCCCAGGATGGCCTCAAACTCACCACAGTCCTCCTGCCTCAGACTCTTGATCCTAGGATTATAGGAGAAGGTAATATCTACCTGAATTAACATTTGTTCAACAAAAGAATGGTACTTACTGCTTTATAAGTAGTATATCACTGAATTCCCACAACAGGGCCAGCAGGATGGTACAGTGGGTAAGGATGCTTATCTCCAAGTCTGACAACCTGAATTCCCACAGGTTGTCTTCTGAGCTCTAAAGGCAAGCAATAGCAAGTGTGCACCCAAACATACAAATATAAATACACGCACAAGTAAATAAACAAATATTTTTAATACCACAATAATCCTGCAAGTTACATCTCATTTTACAAATAAGGAAGCCTAAACCCAGGGATAGTGGCACATACTTGTAATCCCAGCACTGAGGCAGATACTGAAGTAAGAGGATCACGAGTTTGAGACTAGCCAAGGGTGAATAGTAAGACCCTATCTCAAAAAAACAAAACAAAACAATCTAACAACAATAAAAACACAGACACACATACACACAACATACCAAGAATGAGGAAGAAACAAGTTTAAAGAACTAAAATGAATTGTCTAAAGGAATATAGTTATTGGAATTATCTACTTGTATTCTCTCTATTTTACTTCTAAAGCGTCTATAGGTACATAATGACAATAAATTAATCCTTAAACAGAAGGTAGATGCAAGTTACCTTGATATATTGTGTGAGAAAGAACTTCTAGAGGAAATAGTAAGACTGGTGATGGTTGGTAATTTAATTTCTAACAACTGTTCTTTTCATTGGAAAGAAAAGTCCACCAAAAAAAAACATTTAAAAAACAACATAATAATAATTTAGTCAAATTTGAAATAAATTATTTCATAGTTAGATTGAAAACATTTAAAAAGTAACTTATTTTAGTCCTCTAGTTTGCTCTCAGGATTGGATACTGAAAAGTGCTAATAAAATGTTGACTACAGGTAGAAAAATCCCTGAATATACAAAACTTTTCTAACTTTTATCTATAGTATCACTCCTAAAAATGAATCAAATTCATTTGTGTAGATTTATTTGCCATAATATATTCAATAAACAACCTTACCTTCAGACACATGAGCTTTCTTGTTGCCTTTAAAACAAGACTGAAAAAAAGAATCCTGAAATTTATCTAGTTTGTTCTGTAAGATTAAAAATCCAGCTCATATCTATTATCTCAGGACTCAGAGGACTGAGACAAGAGCTCAAGACCAACCTGGCCTACAGAGTGAGGGCCTGTCTCAAAAAACAAAAAGTAAAGGAAAACCCTAGACACGGGACTGCTGAGTCAAAAACAGGTGCTTCAAAACTTTCATGTGATTTTATAGCCATGATTTGAAAAAAAAAATTGTAATGTTGCATATACTTTTTTCAATGACATCACATGATTTCAAGCAAATATACTCTATTCAGAATACATCAGACTACAGGCAGCAAGACACCTCTCTGAAAGAAAAACCAATCACCCCTTCCTCCAGCTTTGTTTCCACTGCAAAGTGCTAGCCACTCAACCAACTAATCTGAATAGGTGCTTAGGTGGTGAAGTAAAGGCTATTTTAAAATCTATTCTCATCTCACTTTAATAAGGTAAAATAAACTGCCATACATACTAAAAATAGTTCCACTAATCTGAAACCCAATGCCTGTTTGCCAGAGCAATATTAGCATTGCATATTCTATGCATTCTTTCACCTAATATGGCATCTGCTCTGCACAATATTCAGAATGGAAGCTAACAGATACCTGAATACTTTCAAACCTGTAAAAAGCCAAGAGAACCTAGTTACTTTAACAAAACATTACTTTTTTATTTAAGTAGTTGGCTCTTCTCAACTTTTATGACTGTTTCAACAGACAAGAAAGATTGTGAATCTAGTTTAAATTTTATGCTGGCAAAGTCTGATGAAAGTTTTATCAGAATGTATCCCACCAGATTTATTTGCCTAATTTTTCCCATGTTTTAAAACTTACTTTTTTTTTTCTTCCTGAGTTTAACAATTGTAGAAAGAAAAAAAAAAGCTACTTTGGTCAATTACTAGACTATTAATGGCAAAAGTTATCACTTTAGTTTAAATCAAGCCAAGATATCAAAATTAAAGAAATATTGAGTATCATGAGGAATTTAAGGATACCATAATACTGTAAATAAAATTTCAAGTATTTTTCACTATTATAAAGTTTATATTGTGTTGATTAAATTTTTGAGATCAAATTGAAAATGATGCAAAAATGAAACAGAAAGATAAAAACCAAAACTATAACAAGCACTAACTTAAAAAATACATAATAAAGGCTTACATTAAAAGAACCTTTCCTATTTCTTCTTAAAATAGATAAACAAACTGATGGTTAACATACTACAACCTTGAAATTTTACACAAACCTTCATTATCCAAAAGAATTGCAAACACCATAGAGAAAAGCAGAAAACAAACCTTTTGAAAGCTTTGTTTCTTCTACCACTTTGGTCAGATGCCCCTGGACGATCAGCTTCTCTGCCAAAGAAAATAAACGTTACTATCCAAGCCCAAACACAGACGCATTTCCCTGAGTGGAGCAGTGTAACACATTCCATGACCAAATTTATAAATGATAGCATTACTCCTATGACCAAGCTTAAACAAAAAGCTGGAACCTGGAAGAGGAACTAGGAGAGCTCAGACTTATTAAAGCAATTAAATTAGTGCAGAAAACTGAGAGTAAGAAAACAATTTGCCTTCTATCTTCATGAGATTTCACTCTATTGTAAAGTCTATATCTTTTTATAAATGAGTCAGAGGAAACAAACAATGCAACTTCCTTAAAATCACAGACATCGAACTGAAATAAAGGAATTCTGAGAAAGCATTTTACTGAAAGAATAATTATTCTAGACCAATAGTCTACTTTTCCTTCTTGATAATTCAGAAGATGTGCCTACATGACATATTTCAGGGAAACGAATGGTTTTTAGAAGAGCCAACTACTTAAAAAAGTAATGGTGTTCTACAGAGGATTCTCTGTAAGAACACAATGTACCTTTACAGTCTGTTCAAAGTTGTGTGCTACATTTCGCTGTGGCCTATAACATATCTATTCTGCATATCCCATCTTTAACCCTATGTGCCAGCTGGTCTTCTTCGATCTGTGGCCGAATCAGTTCTGTGACTCTTCAACCAACTGCGATTTGGTCCACCTCCACCAGTCACTGAAATCACATAAACATCACCAGAACCTCTTGGCTGCCTGCGTCCAAGGTTCCTTTTCATTTCTTATGAGCTGTTTATCTCTGACTTCCTTAAAAACAAAGATAGGTTCTTATGTGTGTGGGTGTGGGGAGATGTACTGGCAACTAAACCTAGAGGTTAGTACAGAAAAGGCAAACACATAGCACTGAGTGATATTCTCAGCCCGCTTTTTACTTTTTGAGACAGGGTCTCATTAAGCTGCCTATGCTGGCTTGTATCTCTGTTAGGCCAGGCAGACGAACTTGCAACCCTCCTCCTTCAGCCACCCAAGTAGCTGGAATTAGAGGCCTGTGTCATGGGGCCCAGCTCACATTTAGATACTTTTAAAAGGCATTAGTCCTACTAGATATAAATTACAACCTGTTCTCTATCTTTCTCCATTCCTGAAATTCACTTTCTCTGAGCAATAACTTTGAACTTTTAGCCATTTTTTTCTAATATTTCATTCCTTTGTATTATTTCCTTATTTATTTAGGCTTTTTGAGACAGGGTCTCACTCTGGAGCCCAAGATGAACTGGAACTCACAATCCTTCTATCTCACCTTCTGTGTTCCATATGATGGTATTAACAAGCATGTTCTGCACCACCATGCCTACCCACTACATTACATTTTAAAATAATACAGACAATCAAATTTTTTCCCATTTTGGGCATTAATTAAAAATTTCTTATACATAATTATGCTCTTATATTTTATTAATATCATCCTCATAAGAGTAACATTTTGCTAATCTGTAACTAATATTTTTGGGGGCCCAAAGGTGGCCTGGAACTCACTATGCAGACCAGGCTGGCCTTAATACCACCTGCCTCTGCCTCCTGAGTGCTAGGATTAAAGTTATGCACCCCCATGCCTGGCTTTATAATTAATATTTTACTGACTAATTATTTCTTTTTAAATACTTTTTATTTATTGTTTTTATTTCTTATGTGCATGAATGTATTGTTTGCAAGTAAGTGCACTTGTGTCATGCAATACCTGAGGTCAAAAGGAGGCATCAGATCCCCCTGGAAATGCAGTTTATAGATGGTTGTCAGCCACCATGTAGGTGCTGGGAATCAAATCCAGATCCTCTGGAAGAGCAGTTAATGCTCTTAACCACTAAGCCATCTCTCTAGGACCTTGACTAATTATTTCACATGTGAGTTGTATAATATGCTATATTTCTTTCTTTAGGTATTTCAGGAGTTTATAGTACCTCAGGTTTTAGTTTACAAAATTTTTATATATCTATTTTGCAGACTAAGTTCTCACAGAAACATAAAATTCTTGATATTATTATACATACAAGCCATCTATCCTGGTGTATACCTCCAACCCTTCCTTCACCCAGGGTTTTTTAAAGACAGGGTCTTTAAAAACCAGTCTCACATCCAACTCTGAGTACCCTGGCCCCAACCTCCCAAATGCTAGTAATACAGAATGCTCAACTATGCCTGGCTTTTCTCAGTCTTTGAATTTTACTGCTTTAGTCTCAACTGTGTCCTATGCAAACTTCCCTGACCCTAGATCCTAAATCATCACCTTGTTTTACTCCCTTGTTTTATCAAACATTTTCTCATAATTTCCTGAAAGGAGTGGACAGAGGGTAAATGTTTTGTAACTTTGTTTTTCTGAAATATTAGTATCCTGCCCTGATGTTTATTTGATAGTCTGATGAGACATACAATTCTACAAGAAATAACTTTCCACCAGAATTTCTAAAGCACTGTTGTTTCCTAGCTTCCACCTCAGTGAGTCTAATGACAATCAGACTCCGGCTCCTCTGTATGCATGTTAAAATTTTGTGGTACTCAACAATAACTGATCTGCCTGTCCTTTCTGAGTACCTGGGAGGATTATATATCCTAATTCCCTAGCATTGAAAAAGGTCCCTAAGACTTATGGAAGCCAGGGTCAAAGCATTTAAGAAAGAATAGGTGTTTTTCTATCACTCTCCTCACACCCCCAGAATAGGGGTTGTGAGAATCATGTTTTGAGATAGCAACATCATGGTAAAATTTGATTAACCTTTATCCCTGAATAATGATACAGCATAGAGTGTTCTCACCACCATAGACATGCAGCATGAGTAAAAATAAATGTATGAGTGACGAATGCTTGTCAAATGAAGTCATTAAGAGTTCCTTGTCTGGAAAGCAAGAGGGAAGGAAAGAGGAAAAACAAAAGATTCCAGGGTTTATTTACTGACATATTATAATTTGGCTTGCTATGACTAATACAATATGATAATATCATTTTTCCCTCTCTGGAAGTTTCCAGAATCTCTTTATCCTTAGAGTTCTCAAATATTCTCTTCCCTAACCTGCATAGTGGGGACTGAACCCATGGCACTCTACCACTGAGCTATGTATCCCCAGTCCAGCCGCTTTTCTGTTCTTTTTTCAATTAGGGGAAATTCACATGAAACAATCATTTTGAAGGCTCAATTCCATAACAGTTAGTACTATCGAAATCTCTAAGTAGCTCTAAAACATTTTTATCACCCAAAAGAGGCCCTATAATCATTAAACATTTACTCCCTAATCTCCCTCCCCAGGCCTTGGTAGATTCTGATTAGTTTTCTGTCACGATGGATATACTTTAGATATTTCACACAAATGGAAAAACACAGCTTATGACATTTGGTGTATGATTTAGTTTGTGTTCTTTCAAAATACATCGTGTTGGCTGGGGAGGCAGCTCAGTGGTACAACACTTGCCTATAAAAAATGTATTGTGTTGAGTACTGAGTATATCCTTTGTTTTGATTTTTTTGTTTTTGTTTTGAGACGGGTTCTCCCCATAACCCTGGCTGCCCTAGAACTTGCTATGTAGAGCAGGCTGGCCTCTATCTTACAGAGATCTGCCTGCCTCTGCCTGCCTTTGCCTGCCTCTGCCTCCTGAGTGCTGTGATTTAAAGGTATGCACAACCACTCCCGGCTTTGTGTGTTTCAATTTATAATATAGACTTTCAATACCTTTCAATTTGGGAGAACTACAGTCTATTCTACTGATGAATTCTTTCTCTCTCTCTCTCCTGCTACTCCACTCCCCTCCTACACTTGAATTTATTATTCACATGTTACATCTTCAAAACAATTCCTTAATTTTTGAAAAACTTTCCTTTTTTTGAAAAAAAAAGGAGAAATTATTTTTACTTTCTGGAATATTTACTTTCTTCTTTTACCCTTCTACTGTCTTAAAAGAATTTGGTATTGCTGAGCATGGTGGTGGCGCTGCCTTTAATCCCAGCACTTGGAAGGCAGAGGCAGGCGGATCTTTGTGAGTTCAAGGCCAGCCTGGTCTACATAGTGAGTTCCAGAATAGCTGGGGCTACAGGGGACCCTGTCTCAAAAAAGACATTAAAAAAAAAATTGGTATCACATTTTTACTTACCAAAAATCTTACTTGCATGCCACACCTTGTTTAAAATAATATCACATTTGCCTTGTTTCATTTGTGAAATATCTATCTTTCCAGAACAAGAATACATTTCTTAAAAAGCTTTCTTCTTGGTTTTTTGTTTTTTGTGTGTTTTCTGGTTTGGTTTTTGTTGGTTTGTTGTTGTTGTTTTTCCCCTCAATCACATTTTTTGTTGTTGTTTCTCTTTATGTTCAAGGGTGAGGCAATAAAATCTAGGCCATTCAGAGGAAACCTTTACGTGTCAGTTTCGGTATCTGTATTCTTATATAAACTTAGTCTTGCTTTGAAAACACTACCACGAACTCCTCTTCCGAGCTATAGATTTATCTTGCTTTATGTTTTGTTTTGTTTTGTTTTTACTCCCTTCAGCCCGTTAGAAAACAGAACAGAACCCCAACTCTCTTACAGCTAATTTATCTTTTAGTCTAGTCCAAGTGATTTGCTGTAGTCTTCTCTCCCATTTTCTCTGTCCTTGTCACCCTGTATCTTTAGTAAGTCTTTTGTTATAAATGGTTCACTCATACTTAATCAGTTTACAACTCCCTCTTTGAAACCCTTCACTTCCAGGGCACCACCTGTTCCCTCCCATGCCCAGTTCACTCCTCCCTTCTGAGCCTCTCCTGCCTTCTTCTTCCTTCACTATAATCTAAAGCTGTGTTAGTCTTAAAAAAAATTATGCTAATGACAAAAAATCCTTTTTTCACAACTTTAACTGCTAGCATTTGAATAATTTCTAAATGCCGATAGCAAGTCTAACACACTCTCTGTTTAGTTCCCAGAACCTTCCTCTATTTTTCAGATATCTTCAACCAGAAATCCCACAGAGACTTAATCTCATCATGTCTAAAGCTGAATTTCCAT